GGGGCACATTTTAACTCGGTGTTACAATGTTCCCCATATGGGCAACTGCCATTTAAAACTGAGAAGAAAAATGTACTTCAGCCAGAAATTTACTTTTGCTATTGTTAAATAATTTTCAGAGATATACTCAAAATATATATTTTTCTCTATATAGTCTTGATATGGCAACAAGTAAACACCATAAGTTTAGTCAGAGGCGGACTTAACCATTAGGCAAAGGTAGGCGACCGCCTTGGGCCCCCAAAAGCCAAGGGCCCCCTAAAATGCTTTTTATATGCGAGATGCGCGTTCAGTGCGGACGCACAAGTGGTTGCTGTGGTGTTCATTACCGCGACAACCGTCTGTGCGTCCGCGTTGAACGTGCTTCTTAGCAAAAGTAGGGCGATGTAGAAAATGGGGACGGAATCCCGGAATCTATTCATAAAAACGGAATTTACTGTGTAGCGCGGAATGTGACGGAATGAACGGCGCAGACATGCGTTTCGTTTGCTGTTTAAGCACGCGCAACGCTCGCGGTTGCCGTCTGTTGTAGCTAAATATTATTTTTGCCATTTAATATTCACATACACTAGTCCATATCGCGGTTTGATTGAAGTGTACTGAATTGCATTTGATTTATTCATTGAATATTTAACGAATTCCGTGACATTGCTTTTAATTTTCATTGGAATAAAAGATAGATTAATGTTTTCGCCTTCATTTGATTACCAGAAAAATTAAAATACACAAGACAGAATTTCTAAAAAATAAGTAAATAATATTCAAATTTCATAGGGCCCTATTATTGTATACAAATTAATAAATTAAGTTGTTTTTATGAATTCAATTAATTAGATATGTTTTTGATTAAACCATTAAAATTGAATTCAGAAAAATTCAAATAAAAAAAAGCGCAGAATTTGGGCCCTAAGAATGTAAATTTTGTTACATTTTTAATAGGCCTAAATTTCTGTTAAATTAAGCAAGTTTCATGATTTTTATTAATTAGACATGTTTTTTTTTGTTAAAATTGAATATAATCATCCAGAAAAAAAAAACGGAATCCAGAAAAATTACAACGGAAAAAAAGATTTTGGAAAAAATAAAACTTAGGCTAATTTGGGAAAAATAAAACGGATTTCATAGGGCCCTACAAATATCATGCATCTGAAGCTATCATTTTAATATTAACCAATAGTGCATATTATATATTGAATTTTTTTTAAATGGTGCTTACTCCTTTTTGTGAAAGACCCAAGAAGGAGCATGCACAGTCACTTTCCACACAGGCACACTTCACTTTTGGTTGAAATAATCCTTAAGCATGTAAATTTACAATTTCCTTCAGTTTAATTTAAATGTGCAATTAAAATAAATAAAGGTTATAAGGTTTCAGCCTAAAAGCAGTAAATTAAAGCAATAAGTCATTTGAGAGGCTATGAGTTATTATTTACAGTAAAGTAAAATTCACAATAAACAATACAAAATCAATCATTAGCCTAGCTGAAAGCTTGTTACAGTTGTCAAACAATGGAACAGCCCCAATATATAATTTGTCTCATTGTTTGCTGTTTTTTTTTTCTAAAACCATGTGCTTTTGTTGTGAGTGTGGATCATAAAAGGAGAATTTTTGAAGAATCATTATGCAGCTCTTTTCCATGGTGTAATACCTCATAAGAGCAGCACATAAAATAGCTTAAAACGTTGTGTAGTGTGTATGAGTTGCTGTATTCATGAGTATGCTGTCTTCTGATGTCATGCAATAGTTTTGTGTCATAATGAAACCACAATGTATGCTTTTATTCGCTCATAATCTTAATTCCCTTCTGCCAAAGTCTGAAATCTCATTCACATCTGCATTCATTAAAATGCACCATTCCAGGCTTGATGTCAAAGTTTTAAACAATAACAGCATACAGGTTTGGAACAACATAAAAGTGAGCAAATAATGATGAAATGTAAATTTTTAGATTAACCTTTGGTTACAGTTTCTATGAAGCCTGTATTTATAATGCATTATATGGGTATTCTTAAGGCATTACAATGTATGCAAAATGCATTATAAGCCTTAAATATTGACATTGTTCAAGTTCTGCACAGTATCTCACTGCATCATGAGATACAAACCATTACAAATCTTCTTGTAAACAAGCTTTATAATGTGGTCATAATATTTCATAGTGGTCTTTGCTTTGAGTAATGTAACCTGAGTTAAGTCTTCTTTAAAACAGCCTTAAGATATCATCAATGGGTTATGACACATTTGCTATGAACATTTCTCATTTTAATATCCACAAAACCATATTTCATTGTTTTGCATGCAAAATGGATACCAGTGAGCTCACATTGAAATTCACATTGACTTAACAGGTATGAAGAAATACTCCTAACCACTCATAAGATGTAGTAAGAAACTGTGCAGATCCTAATGTCAAGATATGAGACTTAAAATACATTTATCGATGACTTAAATGGTTAAAAATCATTCATACTCTTAAAAGTTTAAACCACAAATAATTCATTAGATCCTTCATAATGTACTACTATGTATTTTTCTACTAAGTATTTTATAAGGAATTATGCATCTATTACAATTTTGCTAAAATAAGAGAATAAAGAGTACATTACGGATTCTGTACTATTTCTACAGCAGTTAGATGTCGGAAGCATTTTATTTTTTAAAGCCAAACAACTTTTGAAGTTTCCCCGGACACTTCATCTTAATAAGTCATTTTTTACACAGTTCCATTTTCACAGGACGAGTTTGTTTGAACATTATCACAGTCTTTTTTAATTCTGATAATTTGAGGACCACTTTTAATTAAATCTGCCTCGCCGTTTGACTTGACTCTAATGACAGTCCATAATTAAGCAAAATTCAATTATGGATGACTTACATATGCATAAGCTTCTGATCTACTGATAGAAATCTTTAAATAAGACAAACGGAACACATTGAACTAGATTAGCATTTGCAGAGGGAAACATCAGTGCTGGCAATGCAACAGAAGAAATGTGTTGAAGTGTTAGGGAAAATTAGGTTTCACACAAGACTCATAAACACTGTCACAGTGCAGTGCTGCTGAAAAAACCCTCAGCTAAAACTAGCCTATGCTGGTTGGCTGGTCTTAGCTGGTTTAGGCAACGTAGTGCTGTTGAGCCCCTGGGTGAAGGTGTCGGTCCATCTCGCGGTGGACACAGTGTCTCATTCGGGGTTACAGATGAGGATAAGATGTCTATCGTAACCTTAGAGGAGGAGCTTTTGTCATCTGATGCTGAAGATTCTGCTGAGCAACCCCTGGCAATAGCACCTCCATCCCCTGAGCACTCAAGGCTGGATGATTGGTATCTGGGCACCGGAAGTGCCTTTCTTCCCAGAGGTTAATGAAGAGCTCACTAAAATGTGGAAGGCACCTTACACCACCCAGTCACGTTTGAGCTCTTTCCTCCTCTCTACCATTGATGGTGGGGCAGCCAAGGGGTATGTGGACGTTCCCCAAGTGAAGCATGTGGTTGTGGTGCACTTGTGCCTGCAAAACACCGCCACTTGGAGTAATCATCTGCAGCTCCCATCTCAGAGCGACGAATGTCATGGCGCGGTCCCTTGGGCAGGTGATGTCTACAATGGTAGTCCAGGAGCGCCATCTATGGCTGAACCTGGCTGAGATGCAGGACGCCAACAAAGTTCCCTTTACTCCCTGTCAGTTCCGATGCTTTTCTTCACCACAGACCAAGAGTATGCGGATGCAGGACGCTTTGTTTCCTTATGCTTCCCTTGCCATCTCCTTCTCTGCCTTTAATTTTAGGAAGC